GTGCTTGCCTAAAATGCACAGGGCCCTGGGTTTAATCCTTAGTGCAGCAAATAGGAAGGATGGAAGGGAGAGAGGGAGAGAGGGAGGGAGGGAAGAAAGAACTGTTTATAATATTTAAAATGTTTCAATATTAAAGCATTAGCTTTATGCTCCAACTCTCTTTCTTCCTACTGTAACTGAATTTTTTTCATGACTGTAATATGGTTTTACAATGAGGGTATGTTTCTAAACGCTAGAACCAAATACACAATCAGCCCCATCAAGATTTACACAGGAGTATTTAATGCAATGTGATATCTAAATAGAAAAATTCACACCCAAAGTCAAGTTTTGATGACTTAACCTTTAAAGGAGCCCTGATGCTTTAGACTATGCTATGAGGCTGTTACGGTTTAAATCTGATGGATCCTCTAAAGGTTTCTGATTTCAATGCTTGGGTCCCAAAGCCTTCAAATTTTGAGAAACTTTAGAATGCTTAGGAAGTGTAGCCTTGTTTGTGGATCTCCCTCACCCTGATAAGAGGGGCCAGGAGAGCTTGGAGACAAGATGCAACAAGAAGGTGGATGTCTGCTGTCTCTGCAAGAGGGCGCTCACCAGAACCTGCCTGTGCTGTCCGATTCCTCGCCTTGGACTTCTGGCCACCAGGACATAAAAACCGGTTGTTTACATGTCACTTGCTAGAACCCACACTGATCAAGACACACAAAAGGTACTTGCGTACGTACATTACATTCTTAGGCATCTACAAAAAGTGCACAAATTTTTAACTAAAAGAGTTAGAGGTATTTATGTGTCCTTGTAGAATTAAGAATAATTTTCTTTTCTGCACTAATATTTAAATGTATTTTCTAGCTTGGTCAAATTAGCATGTATTAGGTTATTGAAATGTAAAATGAAAAGATGCTCTCCACCACTAATGGCTGTAAAACTGCAACGCTATCTCACAACCATTAAGATGGCTACCATGAGCCAGGCGGTGATGGCACGTGCCTTTAATCCCAGCACTCGGGAGGCAGAGGCAGGAGAACCGCTGTGAGTTCAAGGCCAGCCTGGTCTATAATGCAAGTTCCAGGACAGCCAGGGCTGTTACACAGAAAAACGCTGTCTTGAAAAACAAAAACAAAAACAAAAACTAAAAATAAAAAAGGATGGCTACCATGAAAACAAAACCTGAAAATAGTAAAGGTTGGCAATTAGAAATGTGACGCTTATACACTGTTGGTGGCACGTAAAATGGTTTAGTCACTATGGAAAACATTATGATAATTCCTCAAAAAATTAAAAATACAGCCGGGCGGTGGTGGCGCACGCCTTTAATGCCAGCACTCGGGAGGCAGAGCCAGGCGGATCTCTGTGAGTTCGAGGCCAGCCTGGGCTTGTACCAAGTGAGTTCCAGGAAAGGCGCAAAGCTACACAGAGAAACCCTGTCTCGAAAAACCAAAAAACAAAAACAAAAAAAAATTAAAAATACAATCAACATGTGAGCCAACAATTTCCCTTTTAGGTATATATCCCAAAGTATTGAAATCAGGGTGTTAAAGAAAAATGTGGATACCCATGTTCATACCAGCAGCATTTACGGTAGTCAGAGGATGTAACCAATGTAAATGTCCATTGATGGATGAAAGGTTAAAGAAAATATGGTCTGAACAAACAATACAATGCTATTCAGCCTTTAAAATGAGTGAAATTTTGATATGTGCTATAACATGGATAAGCCTTGATGACATTATGCTACATGCAATAAGCCAATCACAAAAAGACAATACTATATGATTCCACAGTGGGAAATTGAACTCATCAAGACAGAAAGTAAAATGGTGTTGCTAGGAAATGGGAGAGTTATTGTTGCTAGGAAGTGGGAAGTTATTGTTTGTTAAGTATGGAGTTTCAGTTCTGCAAAATGGAGCATCCTGGAGACTAGGCACATCACTCCTAGTAGTTTTTGCTACTGAACCACACATTTAAAAGAAGAGTTAGGATGCCGAGTGGAGGTGGCACATGCCTTTAATCCCAGCACTTGGGGGGCAGAGCCAGGCGGAACTCTGTGAGTTCAAGGCCAGCCTGGTCTACAGAGTGAGATCCAGGACAGGCACCAAAACTACACAGAGAAACCGTGTCTCAGACAAAAAAAGAAGAAGAAGAAGAAGAAGAAGAAGAAGGAGGAGGAGGAGGAGGAGGAGGAGGAGGAGGAGGAGGAGGAGGAGGAGGAGGAGGAGGAGGAGTTAGGATGTTTTTTAATGTTTTACATGGATTTAGATTGTAAGCCCCTTCTAAATTGGTACTCCTTTCAACTTTGTGAATTATATTTTGGAATAATCTGCCATTTTGGAAAGTGAAAGCTTTCCTTGTGAATTACTCAAGGGAAGAAAATCAGAGAAAAGAAAAATAAATGAATGGTGGCACCTACTGTAGGTTCGAGTTCTGCCTGCGACTGTAGTCTGCTGTTCCAAGGAGTTCATTATTCTGCAAGACCACAGTCAGCAGTGCAAACAGTCCAGTCCAGAAATAAAACCTTAGCTATACCTACTCTCCATGCCTCCACAATCAACTCCTACAAAGTCATAAAACTGCTTTAAAACCAGGGAAGAAAGAGCTTGCTTAAATCCTGGGACTTTGCTGCAGTCTACCTGAGGTTCGGTTTAAAGAACTCCCCTTAACTACTACATAACAGCTCCTAGTTTCACTCTTCCCAGGAACTAAACTGGCATCCCTTCTGCCGGGTCATCAGAGGGGGGGAGGGCTTGTAGTGGAAGGCTGTTTGAGCCATACCCTGAAGCACCGCCCTAGTAACAGTTATACCGTGAGGTACATGGCCCTGGGGCGTGGCCACTGGGGACCCTTAAGACCTAGGATACACTTATGCAACTCTCTCGGCTGCCTCGTGGTTTGGATGCTGAGATCCCGGACCAAGCCCTTCAGCATAGGACATAGCTCAGCTTTCCCCAGACCCTGCGATAAACTTCCCGTGGTTGTGAGTTAACCTCCAAATAAATTCCTTTGATCATTAAGCTGATTCCGTGGGTTGCTAATGATTTAATCACATTAAGGGCTGGGTGGTCATCAAATGTGTACTCAATGCTTGCCGAAATTTACTTCCTTACACAAAAAATATAGCACATTTGTGGCTGGAGAGATAGCTCAGCATCAGCTGCTTCTCCAGAGGACCCAGGTTCAATTCCCAGGACCCACATGAGGGAGTGTTCACAGCTATCTATAACTCCAGTTACAGGAAATCTGATGCCCTCTCTGGCCTCCACAGGCACTGCACGCACATGGTACACGGGTGTGTACATTCAGAACACTCATATACATATACACATATATATGTACAGTGCACATTTAATAAGAGAAATGAAATATAACAAAAACAAAAAGAGAAAAAGGAAATTGGCATTTGGCCAAGAGCTTACATTGTGCCAAGCTCTATAGGAGCCTCTAATTTCAATGGTTGTTTCCTATATAATTCTTAATTATTTTTATTATAATCCTTGTTTTCTTCATTTGGGAACATTTATTCATTGTCTGAGGATTACAGATGACATTTACTCAACAATCTTGCAATATGTTAGTAGCCACTCTAACTTTATAGATTTTGTAAGGAACTCCAGCAATCCACGAGGTGACTTACGCTACCCCCATTAGGGAAATGATACATCACCACCACCCTTTGTTTTGAGACACAGTGAAGATCAGCGAAGGCCCAGCCTGACTCCAAATTCACCATCTCCTCCTACGTGTTAGAATTGCTGTCTTCCTTTTTGAATAAATTAAGGATCATATGAAAATAAATGGTGATTCTGGCAGAAATATTTCAAACAGACACACCATAGACCTTGTGGGGGGCCCTACCCCCACCTTTCCCAGGGTACTCTTGAGGAGAGAGGGATGAGAGGAAAGACAGAAACACAGGATAGCTTCAGGAGGACCTGGGTCAATACCCAATGGCTCAGAACTTTATTCCAAAGGGCTTTTTATAACAATGCCACGGGGTGAGGCAAAAGACCTCCCCCTTGTTAGATACAGCCAAGTGCAGACCCTTCCAAACACCTGGTACCCAGGCCCATGGTCCTATCATCCCCTTTATGCAGCCCTGCTTGGTAAAGCAAGCTCAGATCTCACTGGGTTCTGTGGGTTCCCACCAAACCTATACTTTTGCCATGTTTGTTTTCTGAATTCACAATTCTCCCTAACATTGTAACTAGTAATTATTTAAAAAATCATATGTAAGGGATATATCAGTTGTGTATAAAGATATCAAACACAGTGTTTTGATATCCATATACATGATGAAATAAATAACACGGTCAAGAATACCAACACATTATTGCATACAATTGCTTGCTTGTGTGTGGTTCTATTAAGTCGTATTTGAAAATTATTTAATTCTTTCATCACAAGATTCTCATAGAGAGTGTGTTAATGAGTAAGGTAGTTACCTTTCTTTGAAATTTATGTGTCACTTAGACGTTATCTGGGGTACACTAATGTACTTGTAGCCCTTTTTCTTATAATTAAATATTTACCATAATGGAATTTAAAATCTAGCTTGATGAAAATGCCATTGCTAAGTGTAGGCTATTCATGACAACAACTTTACAGTATCTCCTTCTTTAGGCTGTTAATAGCTACATTAGCATATTCTAAGATTCCAATAGCCTGGGTTCCCTTTGGTTTCTCTTGGGAAACACAAAATAGACTTTTTCACTTAGACTCTCCATTAACCCAATTGCTTTATAGTGATTTTACATTGTCCTCATTATTTTAAGTCCCTTGTCTTTTGAATAAATGTGTACAAGATGGACAGACTGTGTCTATCTTTAATTTATACGCTTTTGATCTTCAAAAAGCACCTATATGTGGTGTATTTACAATACCTGATATTCAGGCATGTCAAATATTTTAATGCTATTATTCCAATGGCCATCATAATTAGTGAATTAAAACCACTTTGAAAATGATTTCCACCCTTTCCGGTGGTGATGACCTCCCTCCGAGAACATGCCTCTCACAAAGGATCTCCTTCATCCCTCTCCAGAAGAGAAAAAGAGGAAACACAAGAAAAACTGCCTGGTGCAGAGACCCAATTCCTACTTTATGGAGGTGCAATGCCCAGGATGCTATAAGATCACCACGGTCTTTAGCCATGCACAGATGGTGGTCTTGTCTGTCGGCTGCTCCACTGTCCTCTGTCAGCCCACAGGTGGAAAAGCATGGCTGACAGAAGGATGCTCCTTCAGGAGGAAGCTGCACTGGAAAGCACCTGATTCAAGATGAGTGGGAACCAGCCCAATCAACACATTTTTGGATAAAAAACAAAAGAAAAGGAAAGAAAAGAAAATGATTTCCAAAGGTGAAAAAAGAGTATTCATCAATAAATTCTTTTTTTTGTTTTGTTTTTGTTTTTTCCAAGACAGGGTTTCTCTGTGTAGCTTTGCGCCTTTCCTGGAACTCACTTTGGAGACCAGGCTGGCCTCGAACTCACAGAGATCCACCTGCCTCTGCCTCCCGAGTGCTGGGATTAAAGGAGTGCTCCACCACCGCCCGGCTCAAATTCTTTTTTTATTAATATTTTTCTTTTTTAATTTTTAAATTACTCTGTGTGTGTGTGTGTGAGAGAGAGAGAGAGAGAGAGAGAAGGAGAGAGAGAGAGAGAGAGAGAGAAAGGTCTCATATATCCCAGGTTGGCTTGAATTCACTATGTAGCCAAGGATGACCTTGAACTTCGTATCCTCCTACCTATACCTATAAATTACTGGGATTACAGGCATGATCCATGATGTATGGTTTATATGATACCGGGAACTGAGCCCAAGGTTTCATGCATGCTAGGCAAGTACTTCATCAATTGAACTACTTCCAAGGTCCCTCTTCTCATTAATATTTCTAAAAGATTCAACATCTAATTTTGTCTCTCAGCCTGCTTACATCTTGCTCCTTGGCTGCTCTCTCTAAGGTGATGAACATTTGACAAAAGAATTTTAGCTCCAGTCAGACTGGTGAATCACAGGTAGTAAGGTCAATCCTCAGCCTTATTACATGGTTGATTCACTTCGAAGTTCAAGTGTTGTCCAGGTGGTGGTGGCGCACCCCTTTAATCCCAGCATTAGGGAGGCAAAGGCAGGCAGATCTCTGTGAGTTCGAGGCCAGCCTGAGCTACAGAGCTAGTTCCAGAACAGCTAGGGCTCTGACACAGAGAAACTCTGTCTAAAAAAAAAAAAAGCCCAAAACCAAAAGTTTAAGTGTCTTCATTTCATTGCCTAGAAACTGTAATTCTAGAGTATAAAGGACTATTCCATTAGGATGAATAAGTAACATTGCAATTTGTATCAGAAATTACCCTAAAAGCTCAGGTACTGAAGACATGGTCCCCAATACAGCAGTGTTCAGAGGTGGAGATGTGGGGAGCTGATTGCCTCATGAGGGCTCTCCTCTTTAATGGGCTAACCCACTGATGATGGATCTGTACATTAATGGTAGATGGTAGATAGTTTAGGAGATGAGGCCTACTGCGAGAGACTGAGTCATTGGGAGTGTGTCCCTGAAGGATACAATTTGTTCCAGGCTCTTCCTCCTTCACTCCTTCTGCTTCCAGATGTGGTGAGCTGCTCTGTGCTCTGTTCCTCACCTGACTCACCACAGCCCCAGGAACAATGAGCCTAGTCGCCATGGACTGACCCGTCTGTGACCTTCAGCTGAAATAAGGCCTTCCTCCTCTAAACTGATTTTCTCAAATGTTCTGTCGCAGGAGTGAAAAGCTGACACAAAGACAGTGATGGAAAGCTGGACTCAGACTGAACATGGTTTATAATAAGAAAATGATAGTCACACTGTTGTAGTCAGTGTCCATCGTCAATTTGACACACCTGGGGAGAGTGACCCTCAATTGAGGAACTGCTGCCATTGGACTGGCCTGTAGATATATCTGCAGGACATTTTTTTAATTGATAATTGAAGTAGGAAAGCCCAGACTACTGTAGGGTGTAGACGGACGTTTCTCTCTCACCCGCCTATTCCCAAATACCTGGCAGCCATTTCCCAAAAAAAATTGACTTGGAGGCTTAACATAAATTATAAATGCTCAGCCAATAGCTCAGGCTTACTACTAGCTAGCTCTTACACTTTAATTAACCCATATTCCTTGTGGGAGCCCACAACTGACTCAGTTTGCCAGTTTGAATCTGAAGTCTATTCTGAGTCAATAGAGTTCAGGCTTGTTAGCTCCAAGGCTGTGAGAAAGTTCTGATTAGCCCACAGAGTCTCCTTGAAGGGCTGTGAGAAAGTCCTGATTAGCCCACAAGAAAGAACACACTAGCTAGCTAGATGTAGGCTGCTGATGCCAGCCAGAGGTACATCGAGATAGAAAAAGAAACTGCCTGCTCCTTGACGCAAGGCAGGATAGATAGTGGTTGAATGCCTGTGCTGTGCATTGTTCTACCTCTGTCCTTCAAGACTGTACAGCTGGCTGTGAAATAAACTCGGGGCTGTCCGGCATTGACCGGCAGACCTCTCAACTCTTTTCTGTCTTCCTCATTGTCTCTTCAATCTGTAAACCTCTACGGCAGGCTCTGACAATTCCTTATTTACACTCTGCCACATGGCAGTACCTTTATTAGCATGTCATGTTTATCTTCTGCTCACAATTCCCCTGTCTCAGCCTCCCAGATCCTGGGATTACAGGCCAGCACCACCATATTCAGCTCGAGTTATTTGATTCTCAGAAAGAATGTGGAGGCTACTCTTACTATAAATCTATGGACTTGGAAACAGAGATTATTTGTTCAAAGTTACACAATTTTTAACTGGGAGAGTGAGAATTTCATCCCAGTTCACTTGGCTTTGAGCCTATGTTCATAACTGCTACAATGATATGGTCTTCAACTATAGTGATTTTGCTTACTTCTTCTCAGCTTGACAATGGTATGTGAGCAATACTCACCTGTAGAAGCCATAGTTAAAACACAGAAGTTGGATCTTTTTCCAGGCAGTCATGTAACCACCAGGTAAAACAATCAATGTTTGATAGCCATAGCTCCAATATTGCTGAGCTTCAGACCCCTTAGGTTCATGAAATGCGCTTTTGGCTTTGATATTTTTCACTTAGTTTAAATATAAAAATATTTAGGAACAGACTCATACAAGGGACTTACAAACCTGGAGGCCCTGTGATGAAGGCTGGGGATCCCAAAAGGGGTCATCAGTGCCTCTCTTGCTTTCCCTAGACAGTGTCGTTCATGTCCCTGTGTTGGTTGCAAGAACTGGGAAAAGACAAAAAGTACCATCTAAGGATCTGAAGTAGCTCTTATGAATTTAGGATTGGGCAATGCTTTGCTCCCTCAAAATAGATTGCATGCTCCAATGGGCTGAAAAGAGAGGGCTGGCTTTCTAGACATAAACGCCAATAGGAAAGCAGAAATGGAGATCCAAAGGTGGAATGGCCATTTCAAAGTGATTTTCCATATAGCAGTAAAAGCAGAAACATTCTCATCATGTTGGCTAAATGGGCCTGTCTGGAGAGTTGGCAATTTTTTTTTCCTGGATTTTTGGAAGGTCAGATCAAGAGTTTAGTAACTGGTAGGTGGGGTACAATCTCAGCATACTCAACTCCATTTCTTTTTTTAAAAAATAATTTATTTTTATTCCATGCACATTCATATTTTACCTGTATGTCTGTGTGAAGGTGTCAGATCTCCTGAAATGGGAGTGACAGGCAGTTATGAGCTGCCATGTGGGTGCTGGGAATTGAACCGCTGAGCTCTAGCCTGTAGCTAGAGTTTTCCTGACTGGCCCACAGTCAGGACAAATCTCTGCCACCCACCAGTCCCACAACCATTCAGACCCGACCAAGTAAACACAGAGACTTATATTGGTTACAAACTGTATGGCCGTGGCAGGCTTCTTGCTAACTGTTCTTACAGCTTAAATTAATCCATTTCCATTAATCTATACCTTGCCACATGGCTCGTGGCTTACCGGCATCTTCACATGCTGTTTCTCATCATGGCGGCTGGCAGTGTCTCCCCGACTCAGCCTTCCACTTCCCAGTTTTTTCTCCTCCTTGTCCCGCCTACACTTCCTGCCTAGCCAATGGCCAATCAGTGATTTATTTATTGACCAATCAGCAACACATTTGACATACAGACCATCCCACAGCACTAGTCCCTCAACTCCATTTCTGTTCTGTCTGTTTAGCTCAGTGCAGGAATTCAGTCCACATCAAAGCCCTCCTATTAATTTTGTCTACCAGGCTCCATCCAGAAAAGCAAATGCCTACCTTTGACTAGAGCATTGGTCATAAGAAAGGAGCTTGAGACCTCATCAAATGTTTTTCTAGTCATTTACACTGTTTATTATTGCTAAGAGGAGTTTTGATAAGTACATTTTTCAAAACTCAAAACTCCCCTAACAAGTTTTAGTAGTCTTCATAAACTTCTGTGCTGCCCTCTACTTATGTTGCTCTGGTTATCAAGTAGTTCAATATAAGTAAAAAAAAAAAATTCCCCAGAGAAATTTTATCTTCTGTTGTAGCATGAATCTTAAAGAGTCTTATTAACAAAAACAAACCTGGAGCCAGGTATTGGGGTGAATGCTGAAAGATCAGAGAAACAGAAAAAGCCACAGTTTCCTCACCTTGCCAGTTCCTCAGCTGATCCTGTTTCCTCAGACTGGAAGCCTCTGAGTCCTCATCCAAATGGATCTCAGCTGAACTGTTGCTCAAAAGTCTAAAAGTTTAACCAGGTTTTAGTTCCTCATCCTCACGCCTTAAATACCTTTCTGCTTTCTGACATCACTTCCTGGGATTAAAGGCGTGAGTCACCATGCCTGGCTGTTTCCAGTGTGGCTTTAAACTCACAGAGATCCAGATGGATTTCTTCCTCTGGAATGCTGGGATTAAAGGCGTGTGTGCCACCATTTTCTGGCATCTATATCTAGTGACTGTTCTGTTCTCTGACCCCAGATAAGTTTATTAGGGTGCACAATATTTTGGGGAACACAATACCACCACATTCTGTACATTCAAAAAAAAACTATATAAGGATATTCATCATAGTTTTATTCACCATAGCCCTAAACTGGAAAAAATAACCAAAATGTTAAATAAACTATGGTACATTATAGTTATGAAATACTACTCAATAAGACAGAAGTGTAATATTGACACATGAAAATGGATAAATCTCTAGGGAATAATGATTGGATGCAATCTCAAAAGTATACTATATGATGCCACTCATAGTCATTCCCATAATAAAGAAATTATGGAAATAGAGAATTGATTCATGTTCTCAAAAGGGGAATAGTAAGAGATAGCTATAAATGTAAAGTTCAGTAGAAGGGATTTGGAGACATAAGTTGTGATGTTCAGTTTCCTGTGTCAACTTGATTGGGATAAGAGATGTCAGGCCATAGGGGAGCATGACTTCTGGGTGTGTTACAAGAGTGTTTAAAGAAGAGGTTATCA